CAGAGTCTAAGGAAGCTTCTAGGATCCTAAGTAAGGATCTTTAATTTTCTAAACGCTCAATAATAATGGTAGAACACGCAGACGTACATCGCGTAAGCCTAGACGTTCGTTGAGATATTTGTTAATAACTAATTAATTAAACGAAAAATCATATCCAAAACTATAAAGGAACATTACTTAATGTTTGTACTGTATTCTTCAATTCCAAAAGTGCATAAATTCACCCTGAAATTCAAGTAATTAGTGAAAATTCTATAGATTACACTTCCGAGTTTCTAGTCCTATGCCGATAGGTGGCAGCATTGCATGTCATGTTCCTGTCTAATTCATCAAATATTCGCTAATTATTCAAAATCTGGTACAAAATTGGAAACTTTTGGAATCTGCGGAATAAAAATCAATGTATAAGCAATATTCTCATATAGTTAAATATCGGAATCATTGCGCGAATTACCAGTTATTAATTATTATTGCACGACAATCTGTTGCTACGAAAGTATCGTCCCGATGAATTTTCGCACAATTAGAATTAACACATAATTAATTAAACGTCTTTGTCAATGAAATTTAAAGTAAAGAGTCTAAGGAATCTTCTACGATTTCAATAAGTGGGCTTTAAGATCGTTAGAGAACGATATTAATGAAAAGTCGTAGACATGCGTCACGAAAGCCCAGACCCTTGTGGAAAGAATCGTTTGTAACTACCTAATTAAACAAGAAATCGTATCAAATACTGTATAGGAATGTTGCTTGAGACTTGCACTTTATTTTTTTATCCCAAAAGTGCACGAATTGTTCCTAATAATCGAGTAATTAGTGAATATTCAACAGATTGGAGAGAGAAATATGTCTGTCCTTGTCGGTTGATAGTGCCCTCCTTCTCTGCCTACGGCACGTATGTCTGTCCTTTTTGCACAGTATTGCGCTTCTTGTCTAACAGCAGTCGAGATACCTCTGTTTATATCCTATGTTCCTGTTACATTTCCAAGTTTTCGGTCCAAGTTTTGCCACTCCGATAGATG